TTAGAAATAGACACCATATTATTTTTCAACAGAACTGGTAGAAAAATCATAAATGTTTGCAACTTTCATCCTTACTGACTACTCCCTCCGTTCTTTATTATAAGAGACAAATAACAAAATTACGTTGATAAAAAAACAGTTAAAATTAGTTGAGGACAATTAATATGTAAAAAGTAATATTTTTTCTAACAATACCCCCATTAATAAGGAGAGAGAGTATGAGAGAGAACAATTAAATTATTAAAAGAAAAAGAAGTGGGAGGGAAAGAGAGTATAAGTTGGAAACAAAATAAATAGCGGTAAAATAGAAAATCAATATAAAAAAATAAAGACAACTTTTAAGTATCTCTTATATATAGGAATATGCTATAAGCATCAAATGTCTCTTATAATAAGGAACGGAGAGAGTAGTATTTTGTACTGCTTTATTCTTAGGACTTTCATAGTTTCATATAATAAACAAATTTGATAGGAAAAATTCCTGTGTTGTTTTTCTTTTTCAAATTAGATTTCATGAGGATGAGCATTGTCAATTAAGTTGGCTTGGAAATGACCCGAGGGACAAATTGATCAGGAAGAATTGTATGAGCAAGACTTTGTTACTGATCATTCTTTTACTTTTCTTGTCATGTTTATTTACCGAAATGAATTGATGGGCAAGCCCACACTGGGCCTCTAGCCCATCTTAACCAACAAAGTATAGACGCCAGCTTCAAAAAGCGAGGTTGATATATCACCCGCCCGGGCCTGTGTGCCTGTGTGCCTGTGATTTAAAAATTGAAGCCCAATCCCAAAATGTACTAACAGGATGTTATGTTGGTACTTGGTAGTGTGAAGAAAAATGTAAAGAAGCGTTAAGGAGTCGGTTCATAACCCATAAAGTCGGGAGTTCGAATCCTACTGCCGATGTGAGGATCTTGTTGGTGGGTGATTTGTAAGTACTTCTGTAAGCGTTTTCTGAGCCTGAAGGCATGTTCTGGCCCTAGTGAGTTTGTGGGACCCAACTCATCCAAACTTTTTTGTACAAAAAAAAAGAATAAAGCATTGTTGAATATTTGCACGTGACCGTTGGCCCAAAAAAAAAAAGAAAAAAGAAAAAGGAAGAAGAATATTTGCACGTGACTTCTTACTATTTTCTCTGGCAACACGAAGCTTCGCCTTTGATTTTTGCATCACGTGGCTTCTAACTTTGGATCCCTCAATCTAAAAAACCTCCCCCCCCCCCCCCCAACGAACAAAAGGGATTCATTGGATTCACCCTCCATATCACATAAAAGAATCCTTACCCTATACTGAATAATGTCGCGGACCAAGGCAAGCAATGGTCTATTTTAAAAAATGTTTAAAAAAATACTTTTATGTAAGCCAAGATAAATTTTTTTTAATACTTATCTCATATTTTATAAAATCATTTTAAAAAATGAATCCGAACACCCTATTTATTTAGTTTTAATGAAACGTGTTCTTATGAATAGAGTTAGAGGGGACGTAGTTTTAGAATCATTGAAATTTTTTTTTCTGTATAATATAATGGAGGTAAAGTGACAAATTTTGATGGCCTGTTAAATAAGGACTTATTTTATTTGTTATTATCAATTCATACGCAGATAATATATTACACTAAAATTTTGAGGAAAGTAGGAGACGAAACAATATAATTGATTTTTCTAAAAAAGAAAAAATTAGAAGAAGGGGGAGAAGAGTGGGGTGGCGAAGCAGGCAGCAAGAAAACAAAGACATGACAGGTGACCTTGCCGTTGATGCATCACGGATCAGATGCCTCCATTGGACGTGAGTGGAGTTTGACACTTGTGGTCTTGGAGAAAATTTTGTTTTATTTTTTTAATAAGAAAGTAAATTTTTCACTTGATATTTTCACAGACAATCTATTTTCTCCCATCCTAAAATATTAAGTATAACAACTAGATAAGTCATTTATACTAACTGAAAAAATTAGTTAAATTAGATATTGATTAAAAAATATATGTTAATTTTCATAAACTGGCTTTCTTTTTAATTATTTATATTAAAAAATACTCATATTAATTACATACATTAATATGGGTAGTTTGAAGAAATAGTAAACATGAAAGATAATATAAATTGAGATTTTTATCATATATTAGGATAAAAATGAACTTTTTTAACTAGTTATATTTAGTACTGAATAAATAGATTAAATGAAAAATGGTGGCAGTCACATGTTTAAGCGAGAAGGATTTTATTTCGGTATCGTTTCTGCTCATTAATATAAAATTCAATTAACTAATATAAATTTTAAAAAAAAACTAAATAAATTACTTAATTATAATATATATTACATAATTTTTTAAATTATTTATGTGTATTGTTAGATTATATATTAGTTCATAAATCAGGCAAATTAGTTTTTTAAAAAATATAAATATTTTAGAATAATTTATTTACATTATTTAATCTCCTCAAAGCAACAGATAAAAAGGAGGACGGTGAAGGACAAGGCAAGTCCCGAAGTTTGTGTGTTGATGTCTGTGCATACACGAGAAATAATGAAATATATATATCTGATGGATACTTGCTGGATGGGGTGTGACCCTACCATCAGATTCTTGCTCGCAATTGCCAAACGCCCAAACCAGAACTCACATGCCATTCATTTTCTCCTTCTTTCTCTGTTGTTTTCTGATTTCTGAATCATCTCTGTCCTTTGGATCTCACAAATATGTTCCCCACAAGTTTGGTCCCCTTCCTTCAATGCTTCCCAATTAAACCAAACAAAAAAAAAAATGATATGAAATAAAACAGCCCTCTATAAAATTCGATACAAATTAAACTTGTATACATTCTTAAATATACATGCGGATTTCAGAAGATTAGTTCAGTAGTGAGCATATATATATATTGCGTCAAACACCATTCCTAATTAAACAATTAAATAGAGTGACAAATGTTGAGTGGTTGCTAATTTGATTTTTTTTTTTCAAATTAAAGGGATACACAGTAACAATCTAATGTTACGAGTAGGATTGAACTCGTAACCCGCTCAAATTCCTAATTTGAATATAGTTGGAGGGTTCTACTATGAGGAATATAAAGGGCAAATGAGGAATATAATTGAGAAAATTCTTGGGGGCCATGAACTTGAGAAAGAATTAGTCAGGTGGCGGAGCCACAATGCGGATGTGGACACAAACAAATTAAGCAACAAGCGTTGTGTGGCACCTCACACTTTTGCACGCACTATAATCCAACCGAGAGACATCACGGGACTTGGATTAGTGGGCCACTTTCCTCGCGCATCACATCTCCACTTTCCTCTATGTCCATTTGATCTGAAATTACTTCAATCTAAACTTAATTAAACTAAACAAGACTAGCTTAAGTAACCAGACATGATCAATATTAACTTTGACCTCCCTCATCAATTTGTAAGAGAGAGAAACATATATAAGACGGATGGGTCTCACTTATTAAATGAGTGTCCTGATCAGTAAAAAGTACGGCGATTTTGTCAATCTCTTTACAATGACGAAAACCGCATTATATCTTATTGGTGTTACTTGGAAGGAATTCAAGAAGCAGATAATCTTTTGAATACAATTCTTGTTAAAAAAAAAAATTATGCAAAAGGGTCATGCTCAAGTCTTCCATAACCCATCTCTCATGTACTTTCTTTCAGCCTCACCTCTCATATTCATGATGGTACTCTATATATATATATGGGTAATTTGAGTCTTCAATCATGCCTTTGTTTTCAAGTTAATGTGATTGTTTGTAATTTTATAACATCATTATTAGTAGTACTTGCTTAACGTTCAAGGGTGGGTTAGTTTGGCAGAAATAAACTAATATTCCAAGTGTTAGTTAAAGCAGATTGACTTGTGAGTTAGGCTATAATCAATCTCCAAAAAGCAGGTGGTGGCTTTCCTCTCAATTTTTTGTACTATGATTTTCTCATAATTAAAGACAATCAATATAAAGTGCAAAATTAAACGTTGAAACTAGAGTTTTTACCAGGAAAAAAAAAATTAAAACTATACCACCCCATCCCTGCATTATGTACAAGATTTTAAATAAATTCTTTGATCAATTTAATTCTTTAAAAAATAAAAATATAAACAAAATGATCTTCACTGATATTCATGCATGATCTCTGTTATTCTATTCTTTCATTCTTTCTTAAATTTACCCCATAAAAAACCTGTGAACTTGCTTTTTATTTTGCCGACTGAATCTGATAGCTAATATATATAAATATATCACACCTCTGTTTTTTTTGCCCCCCCCTCTTGTCACTTATAATTATAATTGAGGGTCACGGGTGCCACATTTTGCAACTTTTATTGTCAGTTTTCTTAATCTGCCTTTTCCCTCTGGCAACATGGTGACAACTCGCATCCTCATTAATTTTTTTTTTTCCTTCTCCTCTATGTATATGCGGATTAATTGCCGGTAAAATAAAAGCAGATTAATTAAAAAATTGTTTAAAGTTTAAAATTTAAATTGCCTGTATATGTTACTTGTATTTTAATTTTTAATCGAAAACTTGTCGTCAATTCAATGGCATGCTCATTTATTGTTTGGCGCTAAAGTCATAATAACCGTTGATAAATCATAAACCGAAAACCTGTTGTTGTGGGGTTTAGTGGATGACGTGTCAAAAGGAGATATTGACACGTGACATTTTCCGGTGTCAATAAATCACAATCTACGGACGGCCGAGGAGAGCTTCCACATGGGAGAACATCAAAGAAGAAAAGCAGCCGGGCAACCGATCGGAACCGAACCAAGTTTGGTAATAATCCTCCATTGGCACACCATGCTGGAACCTCACTTTCCCACTCAAAATAATTAATTATACTCTATTACTGTGCTCTAACCAGAAAGCCTCTGTCCCACCTCAACTGCCTCTCTCCTTTCCCCCGCTCTCTGAGATCTGGGAAGTGGCCATTTTCTCCACTTTCGCTTCCTCTTTTCAAGTTTTTGTATGAGTTTGTGTGGGCTGTACAGTTTTCTTCTTCTTCTTCTGGATCAGTTTTAATCTGGAATCATAAGCAGCGATTATTGCAGCGAGTTGTTCTTTTTCTCCTGCCTTACATGGAGGCCTCCAAGTTCTTTCTATATCAGAGCTCGTGTTTTCAGCAAACAGTTGCTTTGCGTCCTCCTGTCTCTCTCAATAGACACTGTTCTGGGTTATCCCATTAGTTACCTTCTCATTGCTTTGCCATCAATATATGTGGGTCTTCTACAAATCAACCTCCTCCGTTTATTCTTGCTTCAAGTTATCAACTTTCAAAGTCTGTAATTTATTCTCTTATTTATTACAACTGAGGGGGTTGTATTGAGACTCGGTGATTATTCTTATGGGATGGGGCTGTTTCCGTTGTCCATTCTTTTGCTGGTGAAGCTCTGCATCATTAGCTATGCTTTGGGACTAGAAGGATCTAGAGGTAAATATTAAATTTTCAGAATTCTTCATTTAAACTTGTGCACAATCTAAAAGTATTTGATCTGGGGTCGCCATATTTTGTTAATGTTGTTGTAAACTGTGACACTGAGAAGCTTAAAGTCCATCTGGATCGTCATATCTTGGCATCAGCAAAAATCAGAGCTTGGCAAATAGCTAAGATCACCAAATGGGGCATCGGGTGTCATTTTCTTCTCTCTATTATCTGGTTGCATTGCTCACATAATCTACTTTTAAATAGTGAATTAAAAACAGCGGTTGTTTCTGTGGGCCGGTTTCGGACCCAGTAGCTCACTGTCCATTCATATTCTTTCTGGGCGATGTGCTTTTAGAACCAAAAGATATTGGCTCGAATTGCAGCAATGTGACTGATATTTTCAAACCATGGTTTTCTGAAGTTAATAATTTCCCCCCTATTCAGCATCTATTGATCCAGTGATTTATGGTTCTTTTTGGTTGTTTTCCGCCTTATCGTTATATGATAAGAAGATTCTTGCTATGAAGGCGCTTTTTCCCTATGAATAGATTGCATATTCCTCCATCAACGGACTTGTTTGACAGCTACTGTAATCCTCGGATTAATGACTCATGACCTGAAATATTCATGTTTTTTTGCGGGTGAGGAAGTAGATGGGCTCCATAGATTTAAAGCCATATTTTACTGGACAGTCTGTCATATTTGGCAATTGTGGGGTTTCTGGTAGCTTAGACTGGTAATTTCTTGATATACTGTATTCTTTTTAGGGTTCAGTATATCTCCATCTCCAATATTCATTCCTGTCATTCCTCCTAGAAAAGAAACTCGGGGGCCTGGTCGTGTCCAGTGTGGAGAGTCATGGGGTTCAGACTCAGATAATGCAACATGGGGATGAATTTTGAGCTTTTTGTTTTTTTCGCTTGGTGTCAGTTGTTCATGGTCCTAATCAGTTTCTTCTGCTGTTTTGTGCTTTTCTATTTATCTTCTAGATTTTGCTGTTTCCCCATCCCCAGCAACGATGCCAGTGCATTCTTCTCCCAAAAAGTCACGGGGACCGATTGCCCCAAATACACCGGCCGTGCCAAATGGTAATTTCATTCTCATAGAATGTTAATTTATTATAGCATCCTCTGATCCAGAAGCTGGTGTTTTCACCACTCAGGGCCTTTATTGCACCATTCAGTTACATTATCACCTCCCACAACTCAATTGCCAAAGAAAACAACGGGGGCCGAGCCATCTGCATCACCAAGTGCAAGTGCGACAATGTCACCACCTCCATCATTTGAGGTTGTTCCCCCACCCTCAACTGAACCATCTGCATCAGCAAGTACAAGTGCGACAATGTCACCACCTCCATCATTTAAGGTTGTTCCTCGACCCTCAACTGAGCCATCTGCATCACCTAGTAAAAATGCTACAATATTACCACCCGCATCATCTAACGTTGATCCCCCACCCTCTACTGAGCCACCTCCATCACCAAGTACAGGTGCTGCAATATCACCACGTCCACCATACAGCGTTGTTCCTCCACCCTTAACTCAGCCATCTGCACCACCAAGTGCAACAGGATTACCACCTTCATCGCATAAGGTTGTTCCTCCACCCTCAACTTCACAAGGGCTAGTGCCACCACCAGTACGACCAAGTCCACCTCAAAGAATAGAACCTGCTTTGACACCTCCAGTCTCCACACCTGATGTCCCAGGTACATTGTGCATGGCCTTGTATTTTTTTTTTCCAGAAGGGGGCTGGTTAGTCTAGCTTCTAATTGAATTTGACTGATATTTTGCTCTTCTATCGCATATTGAACAGCCCCCATTGCACCACCTTCTGTTGATATGCCTAAACATTCACCAGTTGGCTTGCCAGTTGAACCAGATTTTCCACATAAAAGAAATGCAAATGAGAGTCACCACGTGGAGCCAGTTTCACCAGGCATGTGATGATACATTTGTCATGTCTTGTGATTTCCCTTCTGTCATTTCTGGTATTGACCCTATATGTGCTATTCAATTGCATATTTGAACTGCTCCAGCTGCAACACCTCCTATCAATTTACCCAAAATCTCACCGGGCCGCCCACCAACTGAAGATGGAAGTTTTCCACCCATTATTCACAAAAGTGATGCAAAGAAAGGTCACGCGCCTGAGGCAGCTTTACCAGGCATGTGATGAAAATCTTCTCAAATAATGTGAATTCTTACAAGATGGTTTAAACTCCTTTCCTGTTGTTGTCAGCTTCCGGCCACTGTTGATTTAAAATATGATTTTCTATTGTATTTTAACAGCCCGAGCAGTACCACCTGCCAAATTGCCAAACAGTTCACCAATCAGCCAACCAACTGGACATGGAGGTTTACCTCCTAATATCCATAGTAGGAATACAAGTATGTGACAAAGGTCTTGTTATGTTGTCACAGGAACATTACCAAAGAGCCTGAATTTTCTTTTTTGACTTTTTCCTCATAACAAGATTTTTATTTGCATTGACCTTGGTCTTCTCTTTAATTGCATTTTGAACAGCCTCTCTTGTACCTCCTGCCAGTTTGCCTCAAATTTCACCAGTCAGCCGACCAACCACACATGGAAGTTTACCGCCTAAAGTTCACGAAAGGATTCCAAACAAGGGTCGCACCCCAGGGCCAGTGTCGCCAGGTATGTGATGAAGTCTTGTCAAGTCATCTCTAGAATTCAACCATGTGGTTCTGACTTTCCTCGTTCTCATTGGATTCAGGATCTGTTGCATCCTCCCCAAGAAAAGTGCAACACAACCCACCACTAGTTCACCCTATTTCCCCAAGTTTAACTCCACCTATATTACCTGGTAATTGTTTTGGCCTGTATTACCTGGTAAATTTCAGTACCTTAATTTGTTAAAAGAGAGGAAGAAATGAAATATTTGGATTTCTATTTAGCGGATCACTTCTATTTGTCTTATTGTTGTTCATTCGTTGTATTTATGCAGCACCGGTTGCATCACCATCAAGTGCACTTCCCGTTAACCCACCACCGTCCGTCCACCCAGTTAAACCAGTATTATCTCCATCAGAATTACCAGGTGCAGATTTTAAAATAGAGAATATTTTTCTCTCCCTACTTTTCATTCACTTATTCACACTATTCATTTTGTAAGCATAGTTTCTTCACTTAAAGGATATGGTTTTTTCAGTTGCCTGGCTAAATTGCTTTTCCGTTGAAATTCCAAAATGACAAGTGATTGCATTTCTTTTTTTTTTCCCCATTTCACAAGGTGAGATGGCAGTTGGACATATGAATCCAGATACCTTAACAATTGGATCAAGCTATAGATGATCATGTCTGTTGTTAGTTTTCTTCAATTTTAATTACTATTTTGTTGATATTGCAAAATGAGATTCGGGTGTGTCCCCCATTTCCCATCTCACATCATTATATGCCAGTGAGAAATGTGAATCCAGATACCTCGACAGTTGGATCAAGCTATAGATGATCATGACTGCATAGTTGTGATGTCTTTTGAGTTAACTTCAATTGTCAAATGATTCTACAACAATGAGAAATATGAATCCAGATCCCTCAAATTGCAATACCTTTGCTCAATGCTTGAGTTTATTCACAATTGTCAGCACTAACACTATAATATGATTGATTTTGTTCTCACTACATTAACCTTATCTTTTGTGTCTCGCCACGGTATTATGTCTCATTGTGGTATTATGTCTAGCATTTGTATCTGGTTGCTTTAATTTCTTTATTTAGTTGTGAAATTTAAATGCTATTTTGAGATAATATTGTGATTCATGGACATTTTTTTGATGGAAAACTTGTGTTCCAGCACCTGTTGTCTCTCCTTCATCAACTCCTTCCAGAATTATCAATTGGAAAAAGGGTGGAGCACCAGTTGCTGCACCTTTGTATAGACGATCAAAGCCACTTCCAGCTTTAACACATTCCCCAGCCCAAGGTATGCAACACTGGACCTACTTTTCACAAGTTGCATATACCTTTTTTTTTTTTTTGGGTGATAAGAATGGGGCAAAGCCCAAAATACAAAACGGGACCTAAATTACAGAATAAAAATTCTATGAGGGACTCCCAGTCTGACTGCATCCTCATGTAGTATCTCTTGAAGGCTGTTTTACGCGCATATTGTCAATATTTCATTCTGATCCAGATTCGTGTTTGCCATAACATCTGCACTTCTATTACCTTCTCTATAAACGTGCTGGAACTCCAATTGCCATTTGAACATCATCAGTTTCTTGTGATAAAAGATGGCATCCTTCAATATCTCTTTTCTGTTGAATAGCTTCTATCACCTTGGCCGCATCACTTTCCACAATAACTTTCCTGAGTTATTGATACTTTTTGTGCTTTAGCCCCTGCTGCACGTGAGCATCATCACAAAAACATAGTCACCAGTCCTGCTCCAGCATCATCAGATCTAGTCTCTCCTCCCACTTCAGTTAACCAAGGTTTGATGTGATACCTGATCTATCATTTTGCATAATTTACTTACTGTAATTTAGCATAACTCCTCCTTTTTGCTTTCTTACTTATTTTTGGTCATTTTCACTACTTGATATAGGTCAAGCAATGCCTCCTTCATTACTCCCAACAAGTGGACGAAGACATTATGCTCCACCACCAGCGAACCCAGGTACCTTTGCAAATTACAAGTACAAACAATTTCGTTTGCCATTATTCTAGGAGTTAGAGAAGAGAGGTGAAAGGAATTTTAGTTTCTGACACTTTTTCTTCTTGGTTGGAACTTCAGCTACTACATTCTCTTTCCCAACTATGCCACCAAGAAGCCAGGTTTCACATGCTCCATCTCCATTGTTCAAATTTGGCCCTCATCCTGCCAAAAGTAAGAAGGAAAAATTACATCCTTTTGATTAATTGAAAGTTATATTTGAAAATAATGTCTTTTCATTATCATTCGTTTTCCACTTAGCATGATTTATTGTGTTTTCTATTGCAAGTACCATTTCTTTCTCCTGAATCGCCTCCTGGGTCTTCTTCCAAGAGACCTAAGACACCCGTCCAGCCGAAAGTTCAAGCACTTCCACCTCCTCCTCCTAATGAAGGCTAGCACCTTATTTCCTTAATCTCTTTATTTGCCTGTAAAGATTTGTTCATTCTTTTAATTATTGCAAGCCTTATTCATTTTACTGAAATATAGTGTCGCTTTTTCTCCTTCAGATTGTTTATCAACCGTTTGCACTGAGCCCTATACAAATTCTCCCCCTGGAGCACCCTGCAGATGTGTATGGCCCATGCAAGTTGGTCTTCGCCTTGGTGTTTCTCTTTATACCTTCTTCCCTTTGGTTTCAGAATTGGCTTCTGAAATTTCCACTGGGGTTTTCATGAAGCAAAGTCAAGTTCGCATAATGGGAGCTAAATCAGCTGATCAGCAACCAGACGAAACCGATGTCCTAATTGATCTGGTTCCACTTGGGGAAATTTTTGATAACAATACAGCTTTTTTGACCTCTCAGAGATTTTGGCATAAAAAGGTTGCTATAAAAGCTTCCTACTTTGGAGACTATGAAGTGTTATATGTGAGCTATCCAGGTATATACAAATTTGGAATTCCTTGTTTAATCCCCACCCCCCTTACCATTTTGGTGAGAAATCTTATGAATTCCTCTATGTATAGGCTTACCGCCATCGCCTCCTCTACCACCAAGCATGACAATGATAGATGGTGGGCCATATTCTAATGGCAACAATGGAAGGGCAATAAAGCCCATTGGGGTGGACATACCAAAAAGACAGCATAGAAATCGACTTAGTGGCGGTGTGATTGCCATTATTTCACTTTCAGCATTTGTAGCTGTTCTTTTATGTTCTGCTGCCGCATGGGTCTTGTTGTTCAAGCGCAGAGATCATGTATCTCAAACAGCATCAACTCCGCGGACTTTGCCACCTTCTCTTTCGAAAACCCCAGGTAATGCAACTGCTGACATCTTAAAAACAAATGAACTTGCGCATTTTGTCCTGTCAACTGCTTGGGATGAGCAAAAGCTTTTGTTTAAGTGGTCAATTATTGAGTACAACACTATTTACAAACTGAAACTAGCTTATTGGTTCTTATCTTATAGAACAAGGAAAACAAGGATGGAACCTTAGCCGGAAGAAAAAGGTTCAACTGCACTTATTCAAATCAGTTGGATCATTTTTCTATCATCATATTTTTAAGCTATAACTAATATCACATTTTTTTAAGTTATAATTGAAGTTGGTTAGTTATGGATGTTGCCATATTACACAACTGCAGTAACGTTTTGATTGATCAATCTTCTGCCACATAGCTTAAGAAACAAAATTATGAATTCACAGGCACTGTTGGGTCAGTGACTGGAGGTGGGCCAGTTTCTGCATCTTCATCATTTCGATCTAGCATTGCAGCTTATAAAGGTTCTGCCAAGAATTTCAGCATGAGTGACATTGAGAGAGCCACTAATAAGTTTCATACTTCAAGAATACTTGGAGAAGGTGGTTTTGGGCGTGTTTATAGTGGTACTCTTGATGATGGGACAAAAGTGGCAGTCAAGGTTCTAAAGAGGGAGGATCATCATGGTGATCGTGAATTCCTAGCTGAAGTTGAGATGCTTAGCCGTTTGCACCATAGAAATTTGGTCAAGTTGATAGGCATATGCACAGAGGAGACATTCCGCTGCTTGGTTTATGAACTCATTCCGAATGGCAGTGTGGATTCCCATTTACATGGTTGGTAAATCTTCTTCATTTTCTTACTTTGGATTTAATGTCCCTCGCTAATTGTAAATACTTTTGAATATAATGGTTTTATGCTTTTCCTTTTGACCTGCTGATAGGAGTTGACAGGGAGACCAGTCCAATTGATTGGGTTGCCCGCATGAAGATAGCTCTTGGTGCTGCTCGTGGTCTGGCTTATCTGCATGAAGATTCAAGTCCCCGCGTAATACATAGGGACTTCAAGTCCTCCAACATCTTGTTGGAAGATGATTTTACACCGAAAGTATCTGATTTTGGACTGGCCCGAATAGCAACGGATGAGGAGAACAGACACATATCGACACGTGTCATGGGAACATTTGGGTACTAAGTCTTTTCCTTTCCTTTTTATACTTGCTTACAGTTTATTTCTTTATCTTGGGTGTCCTCGAGTTATGCTTGCCACCACTAGGCCAGAACTTGTATAGATTACTTAAGCTGAAACTAGAACTTTTATGTCGTCAATTTTACATTGGCCTAATCTCTCTCACATCTCGAGACGTTTGCTTTAGGAGTTTATAGTTGTAGAGAACTTTTAACTTGGAGATTTTTCTTTCCTTCTTTCTTTCCGTTTTCTTTTCATAGAAATAAAAGCAATGGCTTCTATGACTGACATAACAATCGAGTTCTGCTTTAGCAGTTAATAGGTGAGTTCTATTTCCACCTAATTATTACAGGACCTATGTAATAATATCCACAACTTAGCATCAAAGTTATCCGGATTACAGTGGCTAATATTGAGATCTTGGTGACAACCATTGATGTTCAAACCTATTTTTATTCTTTGATGAGTTTTACTATCATTCCGTGATTTGATTTATTTTTAATTTTAAAATTTTCTCCAGTTATGTCGCTCCAGAGTATGCCATGACCGGGCATCTTTTGGTAAAGAGTGATGTTTACAGCTATGGTGTTGTTCTTCTTGAGCTTCTGACCGGAAGAAAGCCAGTGGACATGTCACAACCTCCGGGTCAAGAGAACCTTGTTGCATGGGCACGTCCTCTGCTGACAAGCAAAGAAGGACTCGAATCAATAATAGATCCGTCACTAGGACCCGATGTGCCTTTTGATAGTGTGGCTAAAGTTGCAGCCATTGCTTCAATGTGTGTGCAACCAGAGGTATCAAACCGTCCTTTCATGGGAGAGGTTGTTCAGGCTTTAAAACTCGTATGTAATGAATGTGATGAAGCAAGAGAAGCATTTTCAAGAAGTTCTAGCAAGGATGATTTGTCTGTTGACTTGGACATGGGAGTCAGTACTACTTCTGGACAACAAGCAGATAACTTCCAAGGACCACACTTCGCTACCAGCATGGACCGTGGAGTAGATATTGAAAGAGGGTTATCAGCGTCAGAATTATTCAGTTCATCTGCAAGATTTGGTCGACAAGAGTCAGGATCATTTAGAAGACACTCTTACTCAGGTCCTTTGATGACTGGAAGAAGCAGACGATTATGGCACATGTTTAGAAGGCTTTCTGGTGGTAGTGTCAGTGAACACAGAATCATGTACAAGTTGTGATCATTTTGACACTGAACCATTGCATAATGTGAAGTCGTAGTGGATCTCTCTCTCTTAATTTGTTGGTATGCTTTATAAGCGCAATCTGGTCATCGATGTTTGCTCTCTGTTTGGCCTTTGAAAGAGTGACATGGGAATTGGCATAAACTGTAAATGCTTCGCTGTAAAGAGGAGAAAACAATGTGAATCTATCTTGAAGAGAGAGATGAGAGAAATGTGAAAGATGAAAGAAAGCCTTTTGCTTGGTTGCAAAGAAAGCCTTTTGCTTGCTTGCTTAACTGGGAACTCATTTTCCACTGCGCAATACCATATGCAGTTGCAGCATAATAGATCTGGCGGAAGAGATCTCTGGTTAACTATACAGGCAGCGAATTTCAACGGATGCTTATAGTTCTTAGTCACGACACAGATGAGCATAACTTCACTGGCACTGTAAGAAATAAAGAGGGAGCCATCAGTTGTGGTGCCTCTTCAAGAATGTTCTGATACAAGTCTTGGAGGAAAGTTGCCTCCGGTTTTTTGTTATCTTATGGATCGTTTGGTCTACTGTACTAAGTACTAACTATAATAGGGTCTGTTTAAAATTATATATATATATGTTTATTATTTTTTTTGGTTAAATATTTGTTTTAGAGTTGTCTCTTTCTCTATCAGATGTTGTTGTTTCATTAGGCCAGTTTATTTTGTACTAAACTTGCTCGTAAATTCGAGTCAAATAAGTATATCTAGCTCCTTGTACGTGTCTCTCGTTTTAGTTTGTCATTGATTAATTCTATTGAACTTGAAGGGCTAGAAACATCCTGTGAAGAACGGTGGAAGGCCTTGTGGCATTGTGGCATGGAAGTTTCTCTTATATGAGTTTTATAGATCACTCCATCTAAGCTAACTTAGCTATTGGCCTATATCTTTAAATTCATTTATCTGTTAATTTGCCACGTTCGTGAACTTAAACGAAATTCAGAATAAGTCAAATGAAAAGAATCTTATTTGCACTTCAAGAACTAATTATCTGAATTTAATTAAATTTGTTAACTAATTACGGATGTTAAAAGTATTCACGTAATTGTGAATAAAGATGGTTGAATTTTTGTCACTTTTTCATTATCAATTTAACCTATCCGAACTTAATTTGATTTGTTTGGATTAGGTTTATCACGTTTATTAGCCTATAAATTTAACATTTTTCTAAAGATAATGATAATTTTTTAAATATATTATTTGATTAGATACTATTAAATCAAATTTGAACATTATTAGCTCCCAGCATTATTGGATCTGAATATGAATGAGAGTAACTTTTCTAAAATCATCTTTTGCGTTCACAAGAATTCAAACTCGAAATTTCATGCTTAAAATGGCCACAACACATCCCACTAGGATTGATGTCTATTGGTGATAATGGTCAAATTTTATAGATTCCATTGAAGCTTACTTGGCTATTAGCATATATCTCTTAATTGATTTTTTTTATTAGTTTACTATGTTTATGGACTTAATTAGAATTTGTAATTCCGGTTAGGTGAATAGAACCTAACTCGCTCTTTCAGAAATAATCATCCGAATCTAGCTAAATTTGTTGATTACGTAAAAGCGTTCAAGTAACTATGAATAAATAAATGAATAAGTATAAATGAATTCATAATGTATATACAATAAAATATAGAAAATTTTAATAATTATCAAAAACAACACCAATATACATATTATTTAATCATTTATACAAAATAAATTCACCCAAAATTTCATTTTTTTTCCCACAATGTTGTAAGCAAATATTCTTAATATGCTATCCATGAGTGGCCTATAAAACGAGACCTATACATCTCCCAATACATGGGTGTATTCTCTTAACACCACCAAGTCCTTTCCTCCTCATCACCTTAAAACATCCAAAGCAATCTTTCTTCCCCATCATTTCTTCAGCTGCAACAATGTCCAACAACATCTGGGACCTGTCTTCTCAGCTGCGAACTAATCATCGTCTTCGACCCCAACCAAGACGTATAATTTTCCGAACTCCACTGACTTCATATCGTCTGTTGTATTGCCGGCTTGTCATGGGAGATAGTCCCTGCATGTTTCCTATCTTACGTGGAGGTATTGGTTCACGCCACTTGAACCGCCACTCCACTTATGGCTCACAGCTACAGGCAAGTCTTCGGCTCCAAGAAGCCACAGCTTTAGCCATTAGTAGATTCCTGAGGATGTCACAGCGTCCTGCAACAATGTCTGCTCGTCTCAGAGGTTCCTGTCCCGCACCTCGTCCGGCTCAGAACCGGGTGGCAACAGCACAACCACTGAATAACACAGTGGTTGAGAGGGCAAGACAGGAACCTATTCCAACCCAAGAATCTGTAACTGGTGAAAGTGCTGGAACTCAACCTCCCATTGAGAATGATGAGTCTGCTGCTGAAGAACTAGATTTGACTCTGAAACTTTAGAGCTTCGGTTTCAATTGTGGTTCATGTTATTGTTGTTGTTCCTGTTGTCGTTGTCGTCCTTGTCTTTGTTGTGTTTGGGGTTTATTCGTCGTGGTTATGCAGTTGTCAAAATAAAGAGGCAGATGATTTGATATTATCTCCCAAGGTTTTCGCAAATAAGTGTTGTATCTCATGTTCATGAATGAAGTTTTCTAGTTTCAGTTGTGATTTTAGTTGTCATTTTTCTTGATCGCGCCTTGGGTTTTATGCTTTTGTGTTTGATGACACGTTGAGAATGATAAAGAGATGACATCAATTCAAAATATACATTGGCAATCAATATATACAAATTATAAAATAGATTAAAAAATGACCTTATCATATAAAAGATTTGATGGAGTTTTACGTTGGTTGTCGAGAGTATAACACAATCCTGTTTCTTTATCCAGGCTTGGAATTGGCTATGCAGCATAAGCAGAGTTATTAAGAAGCATGACCTTATAAACAATCTTATTATATTTATCTTTGTATTTTTTAACTTGAAACGTTTAAATCATTTCAACCTTGGTGTCCAACAACGACTCTTATCATTTAAACAGGTGATTGGAGGTTTGAGTTCTAAACTATATAAACTTTACACTTCATTTGACTGATAAATGTTCATTTTAGTTTTGAAGAAGAAAAATTAAAGACTTGTGTATTTTCAGCTTTATATCCTTAAAAATTAATTTTTGAATTTATGTGATATTTGTAAATTTCTTGTATATATATAACTAGTTATTCTTTTAGACAATTTGTGCCGTTATCTATATCACTAGATATAAACCATTCGGATTTAATAATATGCTTTATATGTTGTTGTTGTTTTTTTTTTTTTTTACGTTGAATCATTGCGTTTTTAAACTTGGTTTCATTTTGTATTTTGTTTCATTTTACAGGAAAGTGTCAAAATAAAAAATCGTAAAATTGAAAATCCTAAATTGAACTTAAATAATTCAGCTGCTATTTCATTTCCCAAATAATATATAAGTTTGAGTTCCACTTTTCCTCTGTAGTATTAGGGTCTATTTGAATTGGCGATAGAATCAATAGTTTATTTTCAATTTGACTTTTAAAAATTTCCCAAATAATTATTTTATCATTTTCACTGAAGATGATAAAATTTTTGCTCACACTATTATTTTCTTTAGTTTCAATCCCTTAACTTTTCTTGTTAAAAAAGTTTTTAAAATAATTTTAGTTTAAGTTGAAAATATTAACCTTAACCACTAAGCCACAATCCTCAATCTTATGCAATTGTAAAGGTCAAGGAAAGAGCAGGAAAATGGAAAAACTCCGCGAAGAGAATAATATGCAGGAAAATAATTATTGAAAAAGTAGAAGGGGCATTCCGAGAATCGAACTCGGGACCTCTCGCACCCAAAGCGAGAATCATACCACTAGACCAAATGCCCAGCTTACAATCCCTTCGCCTTTATAATTAGTCTTTTTACACGGTGGCCAAGTCCAAGAACCCAAACGAATTTTTAATGCATGTAAACGATGGCCTATTAAAATTTTACACGTGCATCAATATGGTCAACATAAAACATAAAAGGTCTATGAAAAAACGCTACCATTAATTCTTCCTTTTTCTTTTTAATTACAGTTTGATTTTACCGAATAATTTGATAACCTAATAACAAGAACACAAGATATTATGTTTACACGCACATCTCTCTATTATTTTAATCATTATTACTTCGGGTTCTTATTTGATTCTAAATATAAAACTTTAATTCACTTTGGCCCTCAAATTTATAATTTATTATCTAAAGTGTCCCTATTAATTATAAATGTCAATGGGTTTCCATTTAAGAATAGTTATGATTAAAACAAATATTTTAGAAAAATCAACTCATATTTGTTATAAATAACTAATTTAATTAAATTTCTTAATATACTTAAATTATTTAAGTGGTTTTTATATTAAAGATAAAAGGTACTATTATAAATCTGACGCAGGTAAAAGGAGTGACCATGAAGAATAGTTTTTTATAGAGTGCCTTGTCTTTATGTACATACACTAAACAGTACAACATTTGAATTGATCAAGGCACAAGACCACACTTGATCATGGGAAACGCAAATAGGATGGTTATATCCACTCACAAGTTATGCCTTGTAGAGTGACCATGTGATTTTATTAGGCATAGCAAATAGTTAGATACAGGGAGGAACAGAAAAGCATACATACAGCTCACGACTCACAAGACATGAATAGCTCTTGCTGATAAAGAAAACTACGCAAAATGCACTCAATTTAAGGAACAAACTTTTTTGTGTAAGCAGTTGATACCTAAACCATACAGAGATAATCATGGGGGAAGCTTACAGACACAGTCAAACCTGCTATATCCTTAGAAGGTGAATTTATCATTTGAGCTCCAATAATGCGAATGAAACCTGGTAATATTAAAGGAAACAAGGCAAACAGTAATGAGTTCAGACGCATTGAAGAGGCAAACAGGTTTATGAGGAAGTAAACTCCCATGATACTTTTACTATTCAGACCTCAATAATAGTTCCTGCTCCAGCAACCAATTTAGGAAATTTTGTTTCACAAGCCTCACAAATAGGATTGTAAAGAAAGAATAGCTGTCGTAAATTTATACATAATAGGTTGCTAGTCTTATCAGCAAGAACCCCCAAGGGCACTCAATTCTTCAAAATCTTCCTCAGATGAAGCGAAATCCTCACTAGGCACGTAACCAGCATCTTTCATTAGCTCATTCAATCCGTTCATCAAGGGGTAAATCTCAGATGCTTGAGGGTTGGAAGTATCCCCAACCAAAAAGGGGGCAAACTCATTGCCAACAGCAACCCAAGTACAACCAGGAGGCTTTCTCACACCTAAGTCCCTCATACAAGTCCTCACATATGCTAGTTTGTCCCAACAGCCAGCAGCAGCATACATGTTGGCTATCAACACGTAGTAACCTGAATGATCAGGCTTCATCTCCAGCAATTTCCCTGCAGCCCATTCACCCACCTTTGTATTTCCATGATTTTTACAGGCTCCTAAAAGAGTTGCCCACATGGCAGCAGTTGGCTTGCAAGGCATCCCAGTTATAACTTGCTTCGCTTTGTTTATAAGACCAGCTCTCCCAAATAGATCAACCATGCAGGCATAGTGCTCCAAGCAAGGCCTTACCCCAAAGACATCTGTCATCTTATTAAACAGCAATTCTCCTTGTCCTAGAAGGCCTGAGTGACTACAAGCCGATAAAACAGCAATCATAGTTATCTTATCAGGTTTAATCCCAACCCTGCACATCTCTTCAAATAGTTTTAGAGCAATTTCTCCATCTCCCTTCATGCCATATCCAGCGATCATAGAAGTATATGTGACTTCATCTCTTGCATTCAATGAATCAAACAGCCGTCTAGCTTCTAAGACTTTGCCAGACCTCGCATACATGTCCACAAGAGCATTCCACAATAACAAGAGATCCTTAAAGTCCTCACGTTTCACGATGTAGCAATGAAATTCTTTCCCATGCTGTAGATTTGCTATGCGAGCACAAAGAGGAAGAATGCTTGCAATGGTCACATAATTAGGTCCAACCCCCTCGCAGAACATCTCTCTGAAAAGGAAGGACACTTCTTCATATCGATCCGCATTAGCATATCCAGAAAGCATGGCATTCCAACAAATCACACCTTTTTCTTCTATTTTATGGAAGACCATATGTGCATGCCAAAGGTCTCTACACCTAGAATACATAGTAATTAATGCATTTTTTACGTTATCATACACATCAGAGCAAGTTCGAACTGCATGTCCATGAATCTCCTTTCCCAATTTAAGGGCTCCAATGTGGGAGCATGCATTTAATCCAATGACCATCGCCACAGAGTCCAAATGATGAATAGATATTCTCATCTGAGAAATCAAAAGAAGTGACCACCTGAAATTGGTTGTTCGCAAGCACACCCCCGCAATGGTGTTCCATGTGATTATACCCACTTCAATGCCCTCCTTGCACATGCTTTCAAAGAGCTGAAAGGCTTCTTCCCACATATTCCTAGAGGCATAAATACTTATCATAGTGTTCCATGAAACAGAATCTCTGTAGGGCATACGATTAAACAAATCACGGGCAGCCTCCACTTTCCCAAACCTACCATACATAGAGACCAATGCATTGTGGACAACCAAACTCCACTCCAGAGAGCTAGATTCGATAGACTTGTGAATCTCGATGCCAGTAACACAATCCGATGATTCCCCACAAGCCTTGAGAACAGATGGATAAGTGAAATTGTCTGGTTTAACCTGCTTATTCATCATTTTCTTATACACAGAAATAGCCTCTGAAAAAGGCCACATCTAACATAGGACGAGATGAGCAAATTCCAGGGTAAGGGGTCCAAACAATCAGTGTTTTCGGTGGCAATTTGAGCATCAGCGAGAAGATTGACATTTGCATAAAAAGTAATAAGCTTAGGAACCACAATGGGGTGTTGATCAAAACCGAGTGAAATAATCTGGGCATGAATCTGCTTGCCCTGTGACAATGATTTAAGGCTGATGCAAGATAAAAGAAGAGAGCTAATGGGATGTAATACAAGGTTGAAAGAACCAGAAGAAGCTGCATGACTCTGGATTTGAGAAAATACTCCGAACGCATTCGATAACTGATTCTGTCTGACAAACTCTCTGAGAGATGCATTAAGAGAGCCAATCATAGATGCAACACTAGGCACGGTTTGTGTATCAACTTGGCAAGCGGGTAGCTTCCATGATTTTGGTACGAACTTTTGAACTTGGGACAAGAATTGATTTCTCGGTACTGAAAACAGCGTTGAAGACAGCATAAAATAAGAACCGACCACATGGCTTCATTAAGAGTATATTGATACAGCTTGGAAACTGAGTCTCCAGTTCAGATTGCAACATGAGGGATCAGAACATTCCAACGCAAGAAATGAAGGGAGGAAATTGGGTTGCGGTGTGTTTACTGAGTACACCAAGGTTGAGTTTGGAGCTGCGAGAAAAAGGTGAACAGATGAAGGTTGCGGCCACCCGACCACAGTGCACCCCTTAGTGCGACGAGAGTGAACGATGGACCAGGTGGCGGTGGCGACAACTGGAGGAGCAATTGCGACCAACCACCAGCGGGCGGCGACCAACGACGAACACTAGATGACGAGCAGCTGAAGAGCATGAACGGGAACAAAAACAAACAAAAAAGGTTTTTCCAACCCCAACGAAACACAGCGTTAATGGGGAGAGACTGAGATAGGCGCCATTGCTGCAGTGGGAGGCCGGGATGTGAGAAGAAAGGGGAAGCTTGCTCATCCAGCTGGAACTGGGATTTTTAGGGATTGATTTTTACATTTTTGGTTTGGGCATAAAGGGACAAGTAATTAATTGCAACTCGCAAGTTTATTTCTTGGTTTGGTCCGGTTGACCCAAAAGTCTGTTGTTTGGGCTGTTGGATCAAATACCGCAAAAGAAAAATAATAACCGACGAGGAATACATTGATCCCGGCACACATCACGAGCCTGTTTGCAAATACTATTGAGTCAGCAAAGACTCCTTCATGTCTGCCATATCATTTACTTTATATTAATCCTTATGTCATATTAGGTTTGCTTTCAAGTATAAGCGTGAGGTATGTTTTTGTTTCTGTCCAGTAATCACTTTAATTTTGTGTGTTTTTACTTTTGTTTTTGTCCAGTAATTACTTTAACTTTGTGTGTTTTTGCTTTTGTTAAGAAACTTAATTTACTTTTATAAAGTAGGGTTGTATTATCGGGTTTAATAATCTAGGTTTGTCTTTTAGTCAGTCAGAAAGTCTATAAATGAGCATTTGGTCTTCTGAAAAGACATCGAATGTTCTAATTACTTCTTATGAATAAAAGTATGTTTTCCACAACATCTTCATTCTTTTTTAATTATGTAATGGCTAAAAATATTAGTAGAATGAACGAATTTGGGTCCTTGGGCATTTGATTTGTCTAACCTCGTTTAAATCAATAGTCAATGGGAATACTGGGATAGATTTAAATAAGAATCTCTCAGTTTTTTATAATTTAAGTTTGGAATGAAATAAAAATGAAAAATGAATCTTAATCAACTTCATCAACTTTAAGAAGTAAAATAATACCTCATAGTATATTTATAAACGTATAAAACAAACAAATCTCAATCAGCCATATAAAAAAAAGTACATTTACAAATGATACAAAATACAATTAACCATATATGTCCACAATTTAGCATACAAAGCATGATCAGTTACCCAGTTGATAAGCACTCATTTTTACTATCCTTTATTGGATGCAAATTATCTTTTTCCTCTTAATTGATAAATAAAACAAGGGTTGAGATACAAATGTACCCCACAAATTTTCACTAAAAAGCACTAAGCATCTGAAAGTTTGATTGGAAGTAAAACTGCCTTAAAAATTTAAAAATTTAAAATTATAACAATATTACTCTATACAGTTAACATTAATTGTTAAAATAGTGACATTAACCGTTAATATTTTTAACGGAAAAAGATAATATTGTTATGATTTTAAATTTTCTTAACAAATTTGCTTCCAAAAAAAACTTCAGAGTGCCCAATGCTTCTTAATGAAAATTTTCGAAACAAATTTATATGTTAACCCTTAAAACAACTTATAATTTTATTCTATATTCTCGATAGGATCACTTTTGTTAAGGTAAGCTTTTAATTCTCAAGATAGTTGACCAACGTTGTCATTTGATCCCAATGAGGATACGAGGTTGCCCCCACCCATCATAAACCTTTGCTAACACTCAGATAATTCTGATCTCCACTGAAATTCAAACTCCACAAGATTTTTGTTTTCAAGACGACTTTCGTACTCATGAGGGAAGGCTGATAACTCGTAATTTCAATTATAAAATCTGTATGCAATGGACTGAAGATTAATTTCAGTGAAGATTCAAACTAGTGCAGAAAACCTGCATAATAATATTATACATGAAAGTCTCACATAGGCCCTGTTAATTTATCATACCATGAAATGTTGTCAAACATAACACTCAATAGTTTTGAGATCCAGTGGCATACTCAGGTGCCTGTCCCGGATAGCAATTAAGTCTTGATCATCAGCTAGAAGGTAAGCTTTCAAGAAAGCAACTATAGCCCCACCAACGAACCTTCTCATAGGTTTCCTGGACTCTCCATTCTTGCAAAAACAATACGTAGCTTTGCCTCTAATTCCCCTTGTATCATCGTCCAGCATGTCAAGATGACCATATTCCCCTGCAACAAAGTGCCAAGAAGGTTTGGGACATTCGTCGTAGAATTCCCTATGGTTCACACCTTTAGGTGCACAAGGGGGGAACAAAGGGTTTTTCTTTAGTTCGCCTAACTCTGATCCAATAACCATGGCAGCCATATCAAAGTCAAAAGAATGAGGTATGTAAGTGAGCACTGGCGGTGGGGTCTGTTTTCCTTTATCCATTCCATCAACTGGGTCTATGCCTATTAAGGCTGAGAACTTGAGATTTGTGGTGGTGTTTAGTTTCTTAAGAGCCACAGCGAAAGCTGTTTTGCCTCCACGACTATGGCCTCCAAGTGCTATCTTGCTACAATTTGGTTTTACATTTGGAGGAAGATATTTTGAGAGCCCTTCACCTAGCCAATTCGTTATTGCAGCCGTAGAGTGAATCTCATCGCTTATATCCGGTCCAGCCACTGAGTATAGCTGTCATCACAGAACAAGATACAACTATGTACGTTAATGGATTCCCCCACCATATGTACCTGAACACTCGAACATTTTGGGTATTACGTGACATGCCTGGTATTGTAATAAAATGAAACGCAGATAATCTGCATTCTGTAGTCATGTATTGTTGGTTTTTTGGTGCCATGCCTCTAATAAACGAAGCCAAATCAAATGACACATAAACAATTTATAGGTCGTATAAAGCTGCCTCAGTTGCAAGACGCAACAGGCAAGTGTTGTAAATAATGTAAGTGGGTGTGTCAAAAGAAGAGTCCCATATTGTTTGGGATTGTGGGGTCCAAGTAATAAGTGATCTTGGGCTGCCAAGAACAAGGACTGCATATCCCATAAAAATTTGAAGGAAACTAGTCCAATATAACCTTATGCATCAAGGATGGAGAACAACGACGTCCCTTCATTCTCTTTTATCCAAAACACCAGAGCTATGAAAAGTTCAAAATTAATCACACGTTTTTTTGGTAAAAAATTAATCAGATATATGATATAAGACCAAAGAGAGTAGTGGCCTATCCTCGTTAGCCACGACTTTTCATCACTTGGTTTCTGATATTCAATGGGTTAAATCTGGAATTTTAATTCTCACTGAAATGGCTATCAAGCGGGGTTCCCTGCAATCAATTTATCATTTAAAGAGAGCTCATTTTTCACGTTTGACATATGATCTCTTATTTCTATGATTCACTCCGATTATACTATATAATATACTTCCAAGTATACTGTCTCTCTCCGACTATAATAATACATAATGCACTTTAAGTATAAGCCGGGCTCTGTTTGTACGGTTTGATTACTAAAATTCTCTACAAAAAGCATAGAATAAATTATTCGTTAGTCAACAAAAACTGCTTATAAATTTCCCAAAAGCGCAGCTAGCAGTATCAAAACAGGATACAAGCACGCAATGTGTGAAACAAATATCAGATATACGACAGGGCTTTGATAGGCATCAGTAGTTCACAGACGAGGGTGAAATGAGGACTGACCTGAGGAGCGATGACAATGAAGCCATGAGAAGCGACAAGGAGGATAAGCTGGGAGTAAAAGGAGTTGTAAAGAAGGTAGCCATGGAGGAACAAGAGCAGAGGGAAATCTCCTGCTTCAAGAGGCGTTGCGATCAAAAGCGGTTTCGGAGGTGGAACTGAAAAAACAAGAAGACAATACTGATGATAAGACTGATCCAACAAAGAAGATGATACGAAATCGAGCATTTCACAAACATAACGCTTCAAGCGGAACTAACAATAAGCAACAAAAAGTACAATTTACGGCTGAATCGATGCTTTGAAGCTGGGTACTGAATCTTCCAGTTTCGAAGACATCGGCAAGCATGGAAGCGGACGAATGAGAGGAACACATGAGGCACACTCTGAACCTTGCTTACAGGCTAAGTTCTGTGGCTTGCACAATCATATCCTGTCGCATTTTCTTTGCATCTTCCCCGGGTCTTTTTCGCTTTTGGTCATCAGTTCATATCTTTGAGACATGAGCCAGATGTTTTTACTGGGCTTCACTGTGGGCTAATGGCCCATGGATTCAGTCTTCGGCCCAAAAAATTTGGATCTGGATCTGTAAAATGAGCATTAAGGAATTCCTATTTTAATTAGAGTTTGTTATCACTGCTTGAAACTTATTGGTACATGAAAAAAAAATTCCATTCGCATGATATAAAAAACCCATTAATTACATGTGAAAATTACTTGTTTTAAAGTAACAAAAAATATTGCAAAATGTTTTTTAAAAAAAAGGTCCTTCTCACAAGACAGACCGTAAATACATGTTAATGTGAAATAAACAAATTTGGTCAGTGTAATAAACTAATTAAGTGATGATTAAGGAATTAAGTTTTTTTTTATTGCCAACGATTAAGGAATTAAGTTGAAGATTAGAGAAGCAAATGTTCCTTCAAGCACCTGATCGAAATGGAAGCGTATTATTATAACTATATGCAAACATACCATGTGATCGCCACCTGTAATTTTTTAATCTGTCTGCGGAAAATATATTTCTAAAACAAACATACAAATCACTAGTTCACAATGGGTAGGATGGGGCCTGGTTCTATTCAATAACTACTTGTTTCAGTACAATAATTTAGTGTTCGTTTATAAAACTCACCTGCCTTTTTGTTAACCTTTTTTTTTTTCAGTAGAATATTACGTCACGTGTATAGAATATTCAGATATATATATATATGACAATTTCTTGTTTTAATTTTAAGTTTAATAACAATTATATTTTGGATCTTCTTTCCATTTTCCACAGAGTGAAAAAAAGAACCTCGCGGTCAACAGTAAGCTCAAATGCTCCTTAAAATTATCTACGAGAAAATCAATCAAGTTGATTATAAACCAATTAAAGTTATTTAATTTTTTGTTAAACATTGATTGAACTAATTAAACCCTAAGAATTTTGTTCTATACAGCTTTTCCTTCACCGAGAAATCAGCAAAATAACGACTGGCAAAAATAAAAAGAAAAATCACCAAACCCCATATTTATAACGACATTAGTATACATGCATATTTTTTTATACATTAAATTATTTATTATGTTATTTTAATAAACTATAAAACTTGTGGGATATATAAATTTTTACTCAACATGTACAATAATTTAAATACCAGTCGAATTTTGTTGGATTAAAGCTCATCCAACATTTTCCTAAAACATATTTTTCAAGTGTCTCCAACACCTTAAAATATAATAAAAAAATGTTTTAGGTTGCTTGATGTGTATTCATTTAGCAAACTTTTTGAAAAGTTATAACAATAAGGTTAAAATTGCTTCTGAATACTTTAACAGCAAAATTTTACCAAAAAACATCTTAAAATATTGAACATACCTAAAAAAATATTTAAGAATACTGAATGAATTACAAAATACTTTAATATTATTAAAGGTATAGCTCAACCCAATTTTCTTTTCATATCATGGATTAATTATATGTATATCTCATTTACAATTATATTTTTTTCACATTATTATTGTTATCTCTACCTAAAAGGTTCAAAAGCATAAATGTAAGAGATCTGTATCAATTTTTTTTTTTTTAAAAAAAAAGGATCTCATATAGAAAGAAGGTTGAATTAATCATTAATATACCAAAATATAAAATCTATAGCAAGTCACCGCTTTCACAAACCAAGAATAATGATACTGCTCATTTCCCAAACTTTTAAGGAAAAATATGACCTGTTTTGCTTTGAGTACCGCGCAGGTTACTCCGCACTGAGCTGTCGTATTTTAAGGTACAGGGTCCTTAAATAGGAGGGCTCTACTGGACAAGTATTGAAGCCAACAAATACAAGTCTTGTACACGAATGCTACATGCATGTGATGGATCCACATGTCTTCTGATCTACCCCATCCCAATTCCCACGTTAACCCACCTCTCCAATTTACCATAACACCCTCTGATCACAACCTTACGTGAGCCATGGGGACAACTCTCAGCTGTCTCATTCTTTTGCGTGGAACCTTCCTTCCTTCCTTCTTTTCTCACTAATCCCTTTTCTGTAATTACACTCTGCAACTATCTCACAAGTGTGTGCCAACCTCCACAACATCCTCTGCAAATGCCACTTAGTAAAAGATTATATATTGAGATAAAGAGATTATGCTGTTCATAAGCACTAGGCCATTTGTGTCAAGTGGACCAGTGTATTTAGTACTGTATCACAGGACAATAAGAACAGATCTGATTTATCTTTTGTTGTTGCTTTCTTCTAAGTGATTGAGTGAGATGGGGAAGACCAGGAAATGGCTTAGAAACTTGTTGATGTCCCGGAAGAAACACAAGGACAAAGCCAAGAGAGAATGTGAAGCTTCTCAGATTGCTTCCAGTGATGCCTCTCAAATTCCAACCCCAAAAGAGAAACGAAGATGGAGTTTCCGTAGGCCATCAGATTCCAAGCAACTCAATTCTGCAGAAACCAATGTGACTGCCTCACCGACACCACCACCACCACCAGAAGCCACCTCGGATACTGATCAGAATTTGCAGAACAACCACTTCGCTATTGTCACCACTCACAATATCACAGTTCCAAGCACTGAAGATGATGCTGCTATCAGAATTCAATCTGTTTTCCGGTCTTACTTGGTATGCCATTTTCTGCTAAGCGTATATGATTCTACATCATTTTATGTCTTTGTCTGTTTTGTGATTTCTGAGATGAATAACAGGCAAGAAAAGCATTGAGTGCTCTAAGAGGAATAGTGAAGTTGCAGGCATTAGTGAGGGGACATTTGGTTAGAAAACAGGCTTCGGCTGCTCTAAGATGCATGGAAGCTTTGTTGACAGCACAAGCCAGAGCGTGGGCTCAGAGGAACAGAATGACGTCAGAAGCAAAATCTAATCAGAGACACTTAAATCACCCCAGAAAAACACAGGAGAGCTTGATAAGACCTGTGTATGACTATGATGTGAGTTCAAAATCTCTTTCTCTGCTTTGTCTACTGAATCTGATGAACAAGAATCTGCAGTGACCAAATTGATAACTTGCTATTGAAAACAGAAAACTCTCTAGAGGACTGAATCTGGGTTTTTGTGTAACTAGGAAACTGACATGGAATCGCAAGAGAACATAAGAATTGTGAAGGTGGATGTTTCTGGATCAAAAGACAACGGCAGAAGCAGAAACAACACCATAAATTACACTCATTACAATAGTTCTGAGCACAGTTTTTCAACATATTATCACCCACATGGTTCATACTCAAAAGAAGAAAACCTCAAGGTATCTCCAGTCCCATCAGCACAGAGCAGCCCTGCATCATCAAAACCTGATGATAAGAAGCTTCCTTTTACTTCCCCAGGGACCTCTCACAATCCATCAGTCCCAAATTACATGGCCTACACGGAATCATCGAGGGCCAAATTCCGATCACACAGTGCACCCAAGCAAAGACCAGACACACTTGAGAGGCAATTAAGCCGTCCTAGAGCTTCAGTGGAAGCAAGAAACACTGGCCACAGACCAGTAATGAAGATGAGAAGGTCATCTTCACATGTAAATTCTAGTGCTCAACACTACCAATTCCCAAGCACAATCAAGCTTGACAGGTCCGCTATTTCACTGATAGAAAGTGAGTGTGGTTCTTCCAGCACGGTTCTCACAAACACTCAATATTGCAGATCTCTTGTTTCATATGATGTGAGTAGTTAAATTCTCGTAACTTTGAGATTATGGGATTTAGCTAAAAACCAGTCACTTCTGATCAGGTTTTTATCTTTTCTTGTGTGAAGGCAGCCTCATGAAGATAGGTGCTACTGACAGTGCACTTTCTAGGCTTCTACAGCGAGAACAGAGTGTTCCTGAGTTTTGGCGCTACAGTTGAACTGTGTTCTTACAAATCCATGGAAATTGTAGTGAAGTTTAACTTATGTGGACTTGTTTATTCTATTTTATCACTTGCAACTTGGATAGCAAACAGTGTTTAGCTATTGAAATTATGTAATTAACTGTTAGATTTGTTCTTTATGATAAGTAAAGCTAGTTAAAATGAAATAAATTATGACTTGTATTAACTCATCCATTGTCTATATACTGTTTGGATCACTCCCAAAGAATCAGTTTTGTGTAACCTCGTAAAATGTAAAGTCACTTAGTATAATCTCTTCATGAAACAATGTTTTATATATATGTATGTGTGTGTGTATTGTATAACATTGTTTGGTGAAGAGATTATATTAAAATTATCAATGTGTTCTTAAAGTTAGCATGAAGTATGAAATTTTTCTTACCTTACTAATCTGAATTATTCTTTATTAGGTGGGGTTGATACCAAAAATGGAAAAGAGAATTCTCATGTGATATGTTTTGAAATGATTTTTTTTTTTTGGTTTGGTTTATCCATTTTTTTCCCCTTGTACTTGCACAAATCCTTAAAATTTAATCCCTTTTCTTTATCAAAATTTTATAGGTAATCTTGTACTTTTGGTAAATATATTTTTATCTGGTGAAAAATTTGATATGTTAGCGACAATAATTATTGTAAATTTTATTTCTTCGTATAAAGAATATTTTAAAATTTGAATTAGACACTGATACCATAAATTTTATGTTACAGTAAGCATCATTCCCTGTGTCATACTTCCATAAATAAAATAATAAATTAACTGTTTATCCCAAAAAATAACTAAAAAATTCGAATAAATAAAATCATGCAATCCTACTGTCGGGTATTAAATATAGGCATATCTCTCAATAAGATTTAAACTTTAATTCGACATGTTAAAAAAATAGTCTCATCTACTAAATCCAACCTCCTGTGGTTATGGCTCATTTCTTAAACATTCTGTAATACACAAAATTCATAAAAGTTTTTTTATTTTTTGCTAAAGCATATATATCTTTTTATTAGAGGTAATCTTATTCAAAATATTATCAGACACTAAATATGAATACTTTTTTTTAACAAGAATTCGAATATTAGTTTGCTATGTTGCTAGGGGTGTACAACTTAGAAATGCTTTGTGATATTCTAAATTTGGACGATCCAGTTTTTGTCCAGGTCAGAAACTTTAGGCCCAATCTTCACAAAACCTACAAAGATAGCCTAAGTCAAGTCAGCCCGTGCTTTGACAATTTACGTTAAATTTTCGGAATAATACTCAAAAAATTATTAAATGCATAATTTCGACGCTGGAATTGCCGCTTTAGGAGCTTGTTAAAATGAATTTAATTTTAATTTTTTTTATTTTTGCTTATGTTTTTGGATTCAAAACGTGGCCCAAGCCCAAAAAAAAAAAGACGTAATTTAGAGAATGAAAATTGTGTATTTTATTGATACTTCGATTGGGTATTTATATACACTAGAGGAGCCTAGGTATTAATGGCTCATTAATATGAAATCATATCACATCATATCCTATATACTAATTACAAGATATTTACATATCTTATAATATCTCCTATAATATCTCTACACTCCCCCTCAAGTTGGAGCATAGATGTCAATCATGCCCAACTTGTTACAAAGATATTCAACTCGAACCCCATTGAGAGCTTTGGTGAGAAGATCACCCAACTGGTCGCTGGATCTGACATGTCCTGTAGAGATGAAGTTTTCCTTGAGCTTGTCTCGGATGAAATGACAGTCAATCTCAATATGTTTCGTTCGTTCATGAAAGACCGAATTCGAAGCTATGTGTAGGGCTGCTTTATTATCACACCACAGCTTTGCTGGTAACGAGGTTTTAAGACCAACCTCTTTTAGTAGCTGGTATATCCAAACTATCTCACATACAGATTGCGCCATGGCTCTGTATTCCGCTTCTGCACTCGATCGTGACACCACATTCTGTTTCTTGCTTTTCCAGGACACCAAGTTGCCTCCTACAAAAACACAGTATCCTGTAGTCGATCGTCTTGTGGCTTTCGACCCACCATGATCAGCATCACAAAAGCACTCAATGTCTGTGTGACCATGATTCTTGTACAATATCCCACGACCCGGGGATCCCTTCAAGTAGTGTAACACATGCTCTAAGGCTTCCCATTGTCGGACAGTTGGCGCAACCATAAATTGGCTAAGGACACTTACTGGATAGGTGATATCAGGACGGGTCACTGTAAGGTAATTCAACTTCCCAATCAGTCTCCTATACCTCTCTGGATTTTCAAATGGCTTGCTCTTAGCAGCCTCATCAGGATTTTCACATGGTATGCTACCATCAGCATCAAGCAGAGGATTATAGACCATAGGGAAGCTGGTCGGGGCAACCCCTAGTTTCCCAGTTTCTTTCAGCAGATCAAGAACATACTTTCTCTGAGTCAATAAGATGCCTTTCTTGCTCCTCATGACTTCAATTCCCAGAAAATACTTCAATGAACCCAGATCCTTCGTTTGGAAATGTGAGTTAAGGAACGACTTGAGAGATGAGATCCCCGAGGCATTGTTTCCTGTAATCACAATGTCATCGACATACACAACTAGTAGAATCATGCCAGCACTTGTTTGCTGATAGAACACAGAATGATCACACTTACTCTGGTGCAGCCAAAGTTTTTCACAACAGTACTAAATCTGTCAAACCATGCCCGAGGACTTTGTTTTAAGCCATAGAGTGATTTCTTAAGGCGACACACCTTCCCACGCTCCCCCTGAGCAACAAAACCTGGTGGTTGCTCCATATACACTTCTTCAAGGAGATCACCGTTCAAGAATGCATTTTTGATATCTAATTGATGGAGATCCCAACTATAGGTAGCGGCCATAGAGATAAACAGACGAACAGAAGAGAGCTTGGCCACGGGAGAAAAAGTCTCAGAGTAGTCAATACCATACTTTTGAGCATAGCCTTTTGCGACAAGGCGAGCCTTGAGGCGTTCAAGTGTACCATCCGCCTTAACTTTAGGGGTCAACACCCACTTACACCCAATAGCTTTCTTTCCTGCTGGTAAATCTACTAAGGTCCATGTGCCAGCACAATGAAGGGCCGCCATCTCTTCTTCCATAGCAGTACGCCAACCCGGGTGGGACAAGGCTTCATGAAGGGACTTAGGTACTGAAATAGTATCTAAAGAGACAACAAAGGCACGAGAAACAGAAGGGAGGTGGTTATATGAAACAAAAGAAGAAATAGGATGGGCACAAGTACGTTTACCTTTACGAAGGGCAATGGGCAAATCAAGAGAGGGATCTGGAGCTGGAACAGGAGGTGTCTCAGAGTCAATTGAGGGATCGGCATCTAGACCTGGGGCAGGGTCAGGCTCAGGGTGTATGATGCTTGCTGCAGGATCAGATGACGAAGCAAATAATGGTGGAGCAGAATGTGGCGCAATAGTAGGAGTAGTTTCCTTCAAACGTCTGGTGTAGACCCAAGACAAAGATGGTTGATCAGGTGCCAGTACGGGAGCTGGTGCTGGTGGCAAACTTGGACTAACAGAATATACCAGAAAGGTATCCTCCTCCGCCGGTGGAGAAGGTAAAGCGGAAGCATTAGATGCAAAGTAGGCAACAGATTCCTGAAAAGTGACATCAGCTGAAACCAAATAACGATTCAAAGTAGGAGAAAAACATCGATAACCCTTTTGAACTCGAGAGAAGCCAAGAAAGACACATTTAAGAGACTTGGGGTCCAATTTGGAGACCGTGGGACGCACATCTCGAACAAAACAAACACAGCCAAAGATCTTAGGATCAATAGGGAACAAAGCTTTGGAAGGAAAGAGAGTGGTGTAGGGAATGTTACCATCAAGGACAGAGGAGGGCATGCGATTAATAAGAAAACAAGCTATGGAGACTGCATCTGCCCAGAATGGTTTTGGAACCTGCATTTGAAATAAAAGTGCACGGGCCACCTCTAATAAGTGACGATTTTTTCTTTCGGCCACACCATTCTGGGCCGGTGTATCCACACAGGAAGATTGATGAAGAATGCCATGTTGAAGCATAAAAGAGCGAAAGGATTCAGAAAAATATTCTTTAGCATTATCACTGCGCAAGGTGTGGACAAGCGTATTGAATTGAGTTTTAATTTCGGCAACAAAAGTACAAAAGTGAGAGAAAAGCTCAGAACGATTTTTCATTAAATATAGCCAAGTGGTACGGGAATAATCATCAACAAATGTGACAAAATATTTAAAACCACCTTTGGACTCAACTGGACACGGACCCCAAATATCGGAGTGCACTAACTCAAAGGGGGACGAAGCCCGTTTATTGACTCTAGACACTAACGGTAGACGATGATGTTTAGCAAACTGACACGACTCACAATCTAAAGACGACAAATGCTGAAACTGAGGATAAACCTTTTTTAAAGAAGATAAAGATAAATGACCCAAACGACAATGTGCTTCAAATGGAGTGACACCACCAGTACAAGCCACCGCACGAGACCCCTGATCATCAAGGAAGTAATGTCCGCCAGATTCGTAGCCCCTACCAATAATCCTCTTCGTCAAAAGATCCTGTATCAAGCAATGGTCAGGAAAAAGTGAGACCCAACAATTTAATTGGCGAGTAAGCTTGCTAGGGGACAAAAGGTTAAAAGCAAGATTTGGGACATTGAGTACAGATTTTAAATGAATAGAAGGAGTAGGTTTAACAGATCCAGATCCAAGGACACGAGAGTGGGAACCATCCGCAATGGTGATAGCAGAAGGGTTGGCATACGAATTATAGCTAGAGAAGAGATGACGGTTACCTGTCATGTGGTCAGTAGCACCAGAGTCTATGATCCATTTGGAGGAAGAAGAGACAAGGGCAGTAGCCTCATTACCTGTTGTACTAGCAGTGCTCACGGGGGGATTTGCAGATTTCAATTGAGCATACTCAGTAGCTGAGATAGTAACCATGTCACTGGTTGTTGTGGCCACATGGGCAGAGCTCTGTCGTTGTTGCTTGTTTTGCAGCTTACGACATGTGCGTTTAGTATGTCCCGGTTCCTTGCAGTAATAACATATCACTTCCTTGGGCTCCTGATTACCACCTCCTGGTTTCGGACCACTACGACTAGGGAGCCCTCGATTGTCATTCTGGCCTCGACTGAGTAATGCACTAGTAGGT